AGTCCAGCAATAGGCAACTGTTTGGTCAAAAAGAGTAAATCTCTCTTTATTAACAAAGCCACCACCAGCTCTTTAAAGCTGAGATTTTGCATTCAGGTTGGCATGACATACAATACTTGCAGATAGAGATCTGTAATTTTATGGTTCCTTAAAAATAAATGTGCGTAACAGTTAGCATCCTAAATAAAATCCCCTATAATTGCTTTCTCCTTACGATGACGTGAGAGGCAGCAAAATAATTCAGTCTCTCGGTTCTCCAAACCTGCTGAATACAAGAGCTGCTCAGGATTTCCTTGGCAATTCAGTTCTGATGCTAACAGATTGACAGATACATAAACCAATACTAAATATGCATTTTGTACTAGAGTGACCGGGTTGCAACCAGAACATCTGTCTAATACCTTTAAATCCCTCCTCCCAAGGCAAGCAATGAGAGAGGGCTTCTCCTGCCCATTACTCAGGTTGGATGCTCCTTCCCTACTACCTGTTGTAACAATCAGAACTCTTGAATGCCCAGTACAGGTGGCAGGGAAGGGTTGGGTGAGAGTACTGAGGGTGAAACAGCCAGAAGAAAGAGTAGCTGCTCCATTTCTCTGATGCTTTGAGGGGACTGGATGGCATGAGACAGCTCTCTGCAGTCCAGTAACCCTGAGCTTTAACTGCCTGTGAGCAGTTAAGGCTGGAGGGGGGACATCTCAACAACATCTGAGAACCAGAATGTCCTATCTTGTAGCAAAAGATACAGCTACTGGCAAACCTTAAAATAGTTCTTTTGGTTGTCTGATGGGGCATTTATGATTTTGGGTTTTAATCACTAGAAGCAATTCAACATCATTCCAGTTAAATACCAGACATCTGTACCTTTTTTTGTAATGAAGAAAAAACAATTTCCCTGCCATTATAACATCTCTGGCATATGTACCCGTCTCCACTTGCAGTTGGAAACTGTTTACTTCTGAAGATTTTCTTGTAAAAGAAAGGCACAGATTTGCTAAATCACCATTTACTGTCCTCCTCCTTCTTTCTGGGCTTTCTTCAGGTGGCTTCAGAGTGACCAGAAGACCAGTGGGAGTGATTAACCCTTTCCTTGCCAACCATTTGTTCACTTTAAAGTGTTCAACTGAAATTGCTTTCCCATCTGCAAGAGAAAAGATTTATCAACCTCTGTTAGCCTTGGGAAAGAAAAATGGAAAGTGATTTTGACTTGACAAACACCTGGCAAAAAAGCTGCTAAGCAACTCTGCCTTTCCAGTGGTCATCTCCTCAGGCTGAGGCCATCTGCAGCCATTTTGCACCATAAAAGAAATCCCTGGCAGGAAGTGGGGTGGGGACAGGCAAACTCAGAATGACACTTACAGTGTAATTTCAGCCATGGTTTGCATATGCTTCTACGGAGGAGGTGTCCAAAGCAGAATATTCTCATGCAGTGCATTCTATAAAATAGGGTAAACCATGCAACTGAGGGCTGCAAAGATGTTTGCAGAATTTAGACATATGCACTTTTTAAAAAAGTCACAAACTTCTCATAAACAAAGGGCCCACCTGCTAGGAGAAAACATTTTCCCATGTTATGTAGCCATGCGAAAGCCCGGCTTCTGACATGCCCAGGGCAAAGCCATAACCCAGGGCAAGAACACTTGATCATATGTGCCATAGGGCTCCTTCAGATGCTAGAGTTTGGACATGTAGAAGGGCTGTGTGAAATGGCACTGAATTACACCAAGCAGAGCCCTTGAAAGCTTTTGTGGTCCCAGTGTGACTGATCTTTCTCCTCTGTTTATGGGTTTCCTTAGTTTAGAGTTAAGAAACAACAGACCAATCCAGAGAGCTGTGAGGCCTGCCTCCTGCTTTTCACACTGCTCCTCCTATTAGTCAGTGGTGTTCAAACTACAGCTTGGGGAAACTGTGCACTCCCTGGAACCTTCCTTGCCCTGCCCCAATGAAAAACCCAGCAACAGCCAGCAGGCTTCCCTGAAAGACAGGATAATGACCACTGATGAACATCCAACATGCAGCCACAGGGAAAAAGTTGGGTAAATTCTAGGACATGCTCAGTTTGGGGAAAGATTGTTGCTCAGTGGTAGATCCCATGCTTTGCAATGATAGTGCATCAGGACTAGCCCCAAGCCTATCCTGTAGCAGATGTTGGCAACATGACAATGTCAATCAGGGCTCAAAGAGACTGACATAACACCTACGAATCTGTCCATAAACTGCTGTGCATCCTCAATTTGCCTTGGAGCTGGTGTGGGGAGGAAGAAGAGGCTTTAACTCTTCAACTTCCGTTCAGTTTTGCTATTTTAACCTGGATCTTCTTTGTCAACTCTCTCTATATATATAATTTGAGGGAGATGGAAATTCTAATTCAAGTCTTATAACTTGAGAGAGAAATAAATTAAAGAGAATTTGTTAGTTTTGTTATTGGGTTTTATTTCTGCTTGTTTTCCCCCAAAAGCTTCCACCTGAGTTCAATGGAGAGGTCCTTTTCCCCCTTTTCTCTTTCTTTTATTTCTCTCTCAAGTTTTATATATATACATACATACATTCTTACTCCAGTCCTGCAAAGGGACTCAACATTACTTACTGGAAACAGACATAATATTAAAAAGGCCTTGTAGCATACCACTCGGCCACAGGAGAAGTCTAGCTTTCTCCTGGTTTCACAGTAAAAATGGCGATATGCACACTAGCAAATTGAAATTATAGATATACCATTTAGCCGTCAATATCACCCTCTGTTGCTCCTGTGCCCTAGTCAGGATGACCACTGTTGTTTTCTTAAAGTAAACACTCATTCATCCACCCATTATTTTGTTGCCTCTGTTATTTTCAAAAGAGATTGGGTGCTGTTCTCCATAACATGCCTGATGGATTCTGAATGCATTCGTCACACACGTGCCTTTTTAGTTTTAAAAGAAATCCAAGGACTGGATGTGGGGAGTTTTTTGGTGACATCACAGGGCTACCAACCAAGCAGTGCTATGCACAACTGGCTTCTGCTACTAAACATGTAGATCTGGTTTTATTCAGACTTTGAACCTGGTGAGAAACAATCACATTTGGACAGAATGCTAGCTCTAAAAACACTGTGACCACATGACCATTTTTACCACTGAAGGTCAACTTGTTAACTTTGGATCCAAAGCTTGTTTGATTTTGTTTTCCTTGCCTTTTGTCTACAGTTCAGAACCTTCTGATAGCTGAAGCACACATTTAAATTTACTCCCTAACCCTCCAAATTTTAAAACTGTAGGCATGCTTCAATCTTGCACTCCAAATGGTTGCCTAACAGCACAATCCTATACGAGTCTACTTAAAGCATGGTTAAACTCTGAGGGCTCCAACAGGTGAGAAGAAGATCATGCACCTCAGCTTGTCTGTAAAACACAAATTGCAAGTTTATGCAGCCTCAGTTTGCCTCAAGGCTGTGCAGGAAAGAGACCGGGGTGTAACCATTCAATCTCCACTATTACCCCACTCAACCAAATTCATTTCAATGAGTGTGGATTGAAGCACGTCTGCATACTCGTAAGTCATTGATCTGGGTGACTTACTGGAAGAAGCACCGACATAAGGCTGCAAAGAGCAGCCTCCTCCATGGATGAGTTCTTTAGGCTCACTGGGGCCTTTAATTATTTAATCATTTGCACCACTGCCCATGAGCAGTTCTTTCCGGCACATTAGTGCACCCAGGGATAGTTGGAGATTTACTGATTCTTAGTTTATAAATCTTTAAAACATTGTGGAAAGACAGAATGTGAAGGGGATATAAATTCTGGCTAATATATATAGTCACCTGACACAACATTAAGTTTGTCATGTGGAGTAAAGTTGGCGCATCTCAACAAAGTAGTGCTGAAAAATGTTGGCTGAATGAAACAAAGAGGGCAATGTTGTCTGTCATGGAATTCACTGCCACAGGAAGTGGTGGCGGCTACAAGCATCGACGGCTTCAAAAGGGAATTAGATAAGCATATGGAGCAGAGGTCCATCAGTGGCTATTAGCCACATGGTATAGATAGGGACTCTGGGGCAAGTGATGCTCTGTCTTCTTGGTGCTTGGTGGGGGGTCAACAGTGGGAGGGCTTCTAATGTCCTGGCCCCACTGGTGGACCTCTTGATGGCACTGGTATTTCTGGCCACTGTGTGATACAGAGTGTTGGGCTGGATGGGCCTTTGGCCTGATCCAACATTGGCGTCTCTTATGTTCTTATGTCTTTGTCAACCAGGTTCCTTTATGTATCATCTAGGGCTGCGTGCACTCTTCCTGGAATTCTCCCCATCACATACGGCAAAAAGCATGTGTGTGATGAATGCATTCAGAACCCATCAGGCATGTTACGGAGAATAGCATCCAAAAAACAAAACTGGCAAGTGCCATCTTGCAAATCCTTGTTCAGACCCATGACTTCAGTGGATTGGGAGCTGAGAGGAGAGCCGCTTGCCTAACACCACTTACAGTACCATTCTAAGCAGAGCTACACCCTTCTAAATCCATTGACTTCAATGAATTTAGAAGAAGGCTTGGATTAAGACTAAATTTTCCTCTAATGGAAGGCACCATTTGTCAGTTGAACCCCCCACACACACCCACACACTGCAGCCCTTAGATCTTTCTGAAATGCTGTTCCTGAGGACAGGGGGCCCTTATCAAGGGTATGGCAGGCAAATCTGCAGCAGAAGGTGGAAACTGGATGAAATTACACCTCTGTTTCCACTAGTGGAAGATTTAGTCTGGACCCAACCTCAACTGTGTTGGTGGCTGAACTCAGATTGGATCCAGGGACTTAACACCTCACACGCTCAGCCAATAGCCCTAATAAACCACAAAGCAGCTTCTATAAACCACAGCAATTAGGCCACCATTTTAAAAAGAGAAAAGGGGGGGGGATTATTTGTATGAGCAAGGACCAGCAACATTAAGCCCTGGAAGAGCATAAGTAGAAAATGTTTGACATAGTGTAATCAAACATAACTAAATTAAACCATTGTCCTTTTATTCACAAGTCAATTTCAGCCTGATTGTTGTTGTTGTTGTTTGTCACCACCGGAGATGGTTTGCTTTTCATTCCCTCTGTCCCACCTTTGGACACATCGACAAACAAGAGCCGGGGAGTCCACAGAGCAATCAAGATTCTTTTGTACTCATTCCGGAAGTTCTGGTTGAGAAGGCCGTATATCACGGCATTGAGGCAGCTGTTAAAATAAGCCATGAAGTAGCTTACTACAAAAAGCCACTCTGGAATCTGCGGTACTATTTTGGAAGGATTAATGGAGACAGCCAGGCCAATGAAGTTCAGTGGCCCCCAGCAAACTGCAAAGAGGACAAACACCACAAACATAGTCAAGAAGTTCCGGATGTCCACTGCTCTTAGCCTTTGCTTGCAGTCTTGCCTCACCCGGTGTTTGACTTGGATCACCAAAATCCAAATTCGGAGGTAGCAAAAAGTCACTATGCTCAGAGGGATGATGAAGTGAATGGCCACCACAGCGATGGTGTATGACATGCTGACTGTCTGAGCAAAAGTGCAGGAATAAATCCGACGATCATACTGCAGGGAGCCCACAAAGAAGTTTGGCACGATTGCCACCAGTGTGAGCAGCCACGTCAGGCAAAGGTAGCAGTAGGTGTTCTTCAGATTAAAGAGTCTGTCATACCAGAGGCTGTGGCAAATATAACAGTACCTGTTGATTGCTATGGCTGTGATGTTGAAAATGGAACCAATGACGCTTAAGCCCATGAGGAAGCCACTGATCTGGCAGTGGATGTCACCCATTGTCCATTCATTGTGGAAGATGGCTCTTAAGATGAGAGGGTAGGGGTATATTGCCACCACGAGGTCTGCCACAGACAAACTGACGACAAAAAGATTGCCTATGCAGTGGGGAAAACAAAGAAACGGTTAAAGAACTGGAAGATCTAGTTATGTAGTGAATTATCACAACCCATAAAAGGGGATGAAAGCCAACAATCTAGAGTAAAACTAGGAATAAAAGCCAATGAATACATTCATCCTGATCCACCAATAGCATTTCCAGCATAGAAGCAAGCTTCCATGTACACTAAGCTGTGGATGCACATATCTACCAGGGGCTGTTAGTCATTGCATAAAACTCTACATATTTAATGGATTTACAGTGCATTCCTAAACAGAGTTACACCCACCTAAATAATCTTAAATCAATAAGCCTAGAAAGGTGTAACTCTGTTTAAGACTGCACTGTTAGTAAGGGTCCATGGTACGCAAGGATATAATAATCCATAGTGAAAATATTGCACAGAGTTGAAATGATCAAAATAAAATGACTTTCAAATTTATCTTTATTTTCATAAAAACTAATACATATATTAGATTATATGATCATTTTCATGAAAGCAAAAACAAACTAAAACAGCAGTAATAATTATACTAGGGATAAAAATCTATATAATCAACAGTTGTGAACTTTTCCCAACAACTGTTCCATAAAACCACAGAACATTACACCTGAATGTTTTCCCTGTTGTGGCTTACAACAGCCATATAGACTTGCAAAGCCAAGCAGAACAAAAATGCTTGGTTATTTCTTTGTATTTTTAAGGTGTTTTCCTTGTACAGTTTTAACACAAAATTAACTTTTCAAAGTGACTAATATCTTAGAGGTGGCAAAATTGTTAGCAAGTAGAAAGGCACTTTCCTCGAACATCTGTGAGATCTGAAAACTATGTAGTATGTTACTCAGACCATAAACAACCAGATAACTATACTGTATAGTTTGTATACATATACATAAACAACCAGATAACTATATTGTATAGTTTGTATACAATATTTTCAAACTCTATAATTAGGGTTGCCATCCCCCAAATCCCGGCGGGGGTTCCCCCGGTTTTGGGAGCTTCAATCTGCTGGCGGCCAGCTGGCCAGCAGGGGAAGCCCCGCCCCCAAGCTCGCCCACCAGCAGCCACTCCTCTCCCTCCCCTCCTGCAATATTTAAAGGGCCCTTCAGCTGATTGGAGGGGAGCATGTGGCCCGTCGATCAGCTGGATGGCCCTTTAAATCTTGCAGGAGGGAGGAAGAGGGACGCACGCCATCCCTCGCTTCTTCCCCAAAGCATTTAAAGAATCCCTTTAAATGTTTTTGGGAAGAAGAAGGGGGTGGTGCACACCTGCAAGCCAAGCCGCAAATTCCAGTAGCTGCCAATACACATTCTAGCAGCAACTGTAAGATTAGTCACCAACGTCAGATCGGTATCTTTGATCAGATCTTTAAAATAGAATCATGGATGACTTTAGGGTCAAAGGGGATCTCACTACTGTAATTCGCTCTATGCTGGTCTGCCCTTGAGACTGAACCAGAAACTTCAACTAATCCAGAATGCAGTGGTGCGAGTCCTGATGGGAATGTCACAGACAGCACACATTTAACTTGTGCTGCGCTAACTACACTGGCTTCCAGTGGAGTATCGAGTCAGGTTCAAGGTTTTGGTACTGACCCTTTTAAGGCTGTGAGCGGTCAGGGACCCACATATCTTCGGGACTGCCTCCCCTGGTATGTTCTCCAAAGAGCATTAGCTCTGCTGAGACTAATCTGCTGGCGATCCCTGGCCCAAAAGATATCTGGCTGTCCTTGACCAGAGCCAGGGCATTTTCAGCTCTGGCCTTGACCTGGTGGAACTCTCTGCCAAATAACATCAGGGCCCTGCAGGACTTAATGCAATTCCTCAGGGCCCGCAAGGCAGAGATGTTCCGCCAAGCTTTTGGTTGAGGGCAGTGATGGGATCTATCATGGCGGGCACCCTCTCCTTTATTCCATCTTTTCCTTTCCTTTCCTTTCCTTTCCTTTTCTTTTCTTTTCTTTTCTTTTGGCCTCCTCCCTACCCTGCCAGCGAGGCAGCAACACAGTTCAGAACTGGCTTAAAATTTGATTCATAGACACCACCTAGAAACTGTTTTTAAGATTGTATTGAATGATTTATTATTGTGACTTAGTGACGTTTAGGTCGTATTTTATTTGCTATTGTACATCACCCAGAGCCCTGTGAACTCAGGGATTGAGCAATCCATAAATTTAATTAATAAATAAGTCATAAATAAATAAATAAATACTCTCATGAGTTATTTCCGACACTGGCTAGCCCAATCCCATCAGATCTTGGAAGCTCAGCAGGGTCAGCCTTGGCTAGTATTTGAATGGGCAACCTCTGAGGAATACCAGGGTCGTGATGCAGAGGCAGGCAAGTCTAGTTCACCACCTAGTGGTGCGTAACACTAAAGACTTAGAACTTCTGGCTGCCAGACAATCTTAGGATCTCCTGGCTATTCCACACACAATGCCATACGATAATTAATTAATTAATTAGCTGACAACCAAAACCTCTGTATTTCTGTAGAGTCCCAAAAGATGTGGAATTGGTTTGCCCCTAGAGAATGACATTTCCAACAGATATCTTCAAGCCAATTTATATAGAGTTAGGTATTGTACAGGATCTTATTAAAGTTCTCTTTACAGTCACTGGAGATCAACTTCTTTGGTATTTGCTCCCAAATCCATGCTCACTCACATTCTCCCAGTCATTGTTCCCATTTCCTCAAGTGTTTATCAAATGCTACCTCTTGATTCAAAATTAATATATACAAAGCATGCACTTTCCCAGGTACCGAGCTTTTAGTCATTTTTTCAAAAGTTGTTTTTTGCTGGCATTTGCCATGCTTCTGAATCAATGTTGAAATGATATGCCTACTCTGGAAGAACTGAAATAATTGTGATCTTTCTCCATTTTAGCTACAATTTGATCATAAGAGTAAATCCCCTTATTGCTTAATAGGCTTTCAATTGTAGACAGATTAGTTTTCTTCCATAGCTGAGTATCTCCTAGAAGGCTCACATCTCCTTATTATTAAAAACAGATGTTAATGGTGATAGATCAGGATTCAATAATGGCCTCCATTTCCTCCAAACGTTTAAGTCGGCCTTAATACTCTCAAACTTATATTTCTTTTTCTTGTCAACAAATCAAACAATAGCTGACAAATTCCTGTTGATTACTTTTTCAACAGCACTCAAATTCTTATCTGGCATAAACTACCTTAATAGCAAGCTTAATCTAACAGCTTGATAATAAAGATAAATATTAGGCACACCCAGCCTGCCATACAAAGGCTTCTGATATAAGATTCTAGCAGAAACTCTAGGGGGTTTGTTTTGCCAGATAAACTGAAGGATCCACTTTTGCCAACTTTTTAATATTCTCAGATTGATTGTTATGGGAATATTCATGAATAAAAACAATAGCTTTAGTAACACAGACATTTTATTTATCAAACGTATACTTTTGATAGTAGCAATCCTCCCCAACCAAGATATTGAAGGTAATCTCCATTTGTTTGACTAAATTTCTAATTCTGAGAGAAGTTTCATACGATTAACAACCACAACTTTACTCATATCTTCCTGCACCCAAATCCCCAGATATCTAATAGGACAACAATTCCATGGGATGCCTATTAAATGAGCAAGTTTTTTTCCCCTGAGATACATCCATGTTAATACCCATCAAGCTTGATTTCTTTAAATTAACACCCCCTCAAAAAAAGAATGCAAAATCCTTAACACAACTGACAAGAACTCAAAAAGCTTTGTGATAGACAGAGCTAGATCATTCGCAAATAGAGAGAGTTTGAAATTATCTTGCCCCATCCGGACCCCGCAAACTTCTATTTTACTTCTTAATAACAATACCAAGTGTCTCTATTACGATCACAAATAGTAAAAGAGATAAAGGACATCCTTGCTTTGTGCCTCAGTGAAGTTCCAATTCTTCTGACAAAATAAAATGACTTGGAATGCATTTACGAATACCAATGGGGCAGAAAGAAAGGTCACAGGAATTCAAGCCACAGCTCTGGACAAACTCAGTTCAACCTTGAGAGCTGAGCTATCAAGTTGTCAGTCAATATTTTCATGAGGAAGCCAATCATTCCAAAAGGATTCTGACTTGGGACCTGTCTTTGGCACAGTGATTTCTTAATCACAGCCCTATCTGGCAACCCAAGTTTCAGCTATAGCTTCTGTTGAAATCTGAAGGAATTCCTACTGAGGCTGTTAAAAAGCCTCCAGTGAACAAGCCAAGCTGGACTCATGGTTGGCTCTACAGTGAGGTGAAGTAAGGGGGCAGGCAGTGGATTTGGGCAGCAGATGAGGTAGGGTTGCAAGGTGCTTACCTCTCACTGGTGGGGGGAAGAAGGGAGCCTTCCAGGAGGGGGAGGGGCTCTGCCACCAAACAGTAACATCACCATGCAACATTGCCAACGCGATGACCTCACACAGAAGTGATGTCATCATGTCATGGATGTCACATGGGATGCTTTGGTTTAAGGGCAAAACTCTATGGTAAAATTGCCCTCAAACCAGAGCATCCCTGTGTGATGTCCCTGGCATGATGACATCACTTCTGCATGATGTCATCACATCGGCAACTTTGTGTGGGGGCATCACTGGTTGGGGACAGAGTCTCCCCTGACAGTCAGTTGGCCGGCGGCTGGGAGATGACCCCAAAAGTGGAGGATCCCCCGCCTGGACCTGGGGGCTGGCAACCCTAGGATTAGGGGAGGGGGCAGCAACTTCTACCACATTCCCATCCCTTATGCCATCCCACCTAAAAGGTGGAGCACCTAACATGCCTTCCTTGCTTGTTCCCCTGTACCTTTATACACAGCACAACAAGCCTTAGATACCCAGTATACAAGAGTTTGAGAACCTTCCAAAGCATCCATTTCCTCCAGGGGAACTGATCTCTGTAGACTGGAGGTGAGCTGTAATTCCAGGGGATCCCCAGGCCCCACCTGGAGGCTGGCATCCCTAGTTCTTAGATTGTACCACTTCAGACTGCAGG